TTTGGGGTTTAGGGCTTAGGGTACTCAAAGCTCATACTCCCCCTGTGTTCATCGCTTCCGCAGGCCCCTAGACCTCAAAAGGATGTTGGTAGTTATGGAGGCCTATGGGGGAGTTTTCCTTAAACCCGAGACCCTAAACCCTGAACACTAAACCCTAATCCCAAGACCCCTAAATGCTAATCCCAAAACCCCAATAGATCCTGAGCCCTGAGCCCTAATCCTAAAACCGTGGTGGAGAAAAGGTCCGAGCAAAAAAGAAAACCTAAAACCTTCATCTAACCCTTATATGACCCCAATACTACCCCAATATAACCTTTATATAACCCCGATTATAACCCTTTCATAACCCTTATGTAACCCTTATATAACCCCATAAGGTATATAGAACTGGGGCCAGGTCCTGACAAGGCTGCTGCATCAATCGCCGGTCTTCCTGCTTCACCTTAGGGGATCTCTGCGGGGTTTCTGAGTACCAGGACTTTTTAGGGTTTAGGGTTTAGGGTTTAGGGTTTAAGGTTACCTTCCTTGTACCCTTAATTGGGGATATATGGTTCCTAATAGTGGGTAGTTAGGCCCTAATTGAGGGTAGGAGGAGGGTCTAGGTAGTTCTGTGCTGCGGACGTGTGTGTGAAGCCGTCATGTTAGGCCTATGTGGTTTCATCTGTCATAAGTCTGGCTATTCAGTGTCTTCTGGTTACTGTAACTACAGCTTCCTACAAACCTCTAACCAGCCTTGGACCACTTGGGGAGGCAGGCCGTGGTGTTCAGTGTTCAGGATATTGAACAAGAGGTTTTGTATCCGCTATAATGGAGACTCAAGTGCAGAAGAAAATATATGGGATTCTTAGTAGCTTGTAGGTGGATTTTGGCAACCCCTATAACGGAGAGCCAAATGGTAAGGAAAATGAAGCTGGGGTTATATAGGGCTTTACAAGCGGTGATGGCAACCTCCAAATTAGAACCCCCTCAGAGTATGATAATCATAAGATGTCATAGGGTCCTAGTGCAGGGTGTTGCGTTTACCAAAACCCTACAACATTCAGGTTGCAGACCGATGGGCTTGCAATTGCGTGATTCGGGGCTTCAACGCCTTGCAATTGTGCAGAATCGTGATACAAGTGTGTTTGCAAAAAACCTGTCAACGGCTGCAAGCTTGCAGGCGTCTTGCGTTAGATTTTCTCTTGGCAGTATTTTGACATGGCGACATGGCTTGCCTTCCTCTCAACCAACTATTGAGGGAATAGAATTTCCACTTACTTCCGGGCAAATGCTCCATCCTCAAGTCTCTCCTCACCTGCACTCGCGCTAGATACGTCGTTTCTCATCCTCTGAGCCCTGTGAACTGAACCTTAATTTACAACACCGATACCATAAAGTGTTTACGGTTTAGGGTTTAGGGTTCATACCCTAGGCTGCAGACGCTTCTCGAAACTAAAGACATCCCGCAGCATCCTATTTTGCCAAACTCAACCCAAAACGTTGGGCTTTCAGGGTTCAGGACGCCATTTGGCCAAGAAGTACCAAACACGCACATGCATACACAACATCTTACAGTCAACGCAGGTCAGGTCCACTATGCGAAAAGTTGGTTTGCTGCTGGAAAAGGAGGGCTGGGATTGTTTGAGGAACGGATTCCACCGGGCTGCGTCGTTTTAACGGTCAAAGGAGAGACGATAAGTCATATAGCCCCCCTAAATCAGATAGAATATGGCTTTGGGTATATTATAATAAGATCCCCATATACCCCATATTCTATCTACTTAAGGGGGACTACACCTCTATTGAGCCAACTTGGGCAACCCGGGATCCCGAATGCCTACCCGAAGGGTCCATGGTGTTGGGTGGGTATATGATTCCCTAAGGGTCCACGGACCCAAATAACAGGGTTTTAGGTCCCAAATACAATAACATTAATGGTATTCGGGCCCTAAAGCCCTACTATTTGGGTCCTTGGACCCTTAGGGATTGTTGGGGTACTTAGACGTGGTTTAGGGTTCACGGTTCAGGGGTTTATGGGTGATAGTGGCCACTTAGAGGTGGATGGTCCCCAAGGCCTGCCCCACCCCCTTGTACTGAACCGTCGGCTTGAAGACAGTAAACTTGCTACTACTCTTATCATGCTGTCAGCCATATCAGCATTACTATTGCTATAACTTATCATTTCTAGTACTGATAAATACTGCTATTACCCGGGTTGCCTTTAAGGATCTTAAAGCAAGCTACCATGATCTGGGTATATAGTCAATAAACGGATTTCCTTATTGTAGTAACTCAATTTAAGCTCCTGTACACTAAGCCAGTCATTGCAAGCATCATGGCCTCCGTCTCCCATGGTCGCTCCACCCTGTCCGGCGGATCCGACCACAGCAACTCAGCCTCGGAGAGCTTCTCCTCCATGCACAGGAGAAGGAAAGGAACCAAATGAGCTGATAATAATGGAAAATCAAATGGAAAAGAAAATGGACAATGAAATGGAAACTGCTATATATAGGGTTATGTAGGGGATTATAGGGATTATGGTCTAAACTCCTAGTATCCCCCTTAGTAAGCCCTACAGTACTCCCCTAAATGATCCCCTATACAACCCCCTTGAAGGAGTTTAGACTATAGCTCAAATGTGTTCAGAAGTTTAGGGATTTTGGAGGGTTTAGTGTTGGGGCTCTCGGGCTCAGCGATTGACAGGTTTCGTGTCAGTAGAGGTGTGCGAATATGCAACAAGTGAGTTTAGGGTTTAGGGTTTGGGTTTAGGGTTTAGGGTTTAGGGTTTAGGGGAGTCCACTTGGGCAAAAATAGCTGCTCCTGGGCCACTGGAGGACCCGCGAGACGGAAGATGTGCGCTTCCGGGCGCACCTGGGCTTGCGTGTGTCTTTGAACTATTCTGCGACCAACAAAGCAGCAAGGTTCACAGAAACTTGAGCTTCTCACATGTTAAGTGCGCGTATAGGTAGATAGAATATGGCTTTGGGTATATTGTAATAAGATCCCCATACACCCCACTACTAAGCCGTCACAAACCCTCCATCAGCACTGTCTTGATTTTCTTTTCCAGGTTCCTGAAAATCTCTTGGGCTCTACCAGAATCATGGGTACTGAGTAGCTGAATACACCATGGCTAGTATTGTGGCGCACAAAAACTAGATCTCATATTATCCGAAGCGCCTGAAACCCTGAACCAATATGGTAGTTTCCCAAAAATAAGGGGACCCCAATGTAGACCCCGAAATGCTATAGTCCTTCTTATTGGGACCCCAAAATGGTACCCTTAATTTCGGGAAACCTCCATATTTGGGAATCTAGAGCCCCGAGGGCTGCCTGATCATCACTGGAGGATGCCGGGAAATTCTCCACGGGCTCCTTAGCCAGGTTTACGAAGCATCTCTTAGTGGGTCCATGCATCCATAATTATGGGGGACCCTAAGCCCTAAACCCTATAAACCCTACAAACGCCTAACCCTAAGCCGTATAAAGCCAAAACCCCATAAAACCGCAAATAAACCATCAACAACCTAAACCCTATAAACCGTACACCCTAAACTAAGGACTCCAAAAACCTAAGGCGTTCCGAAGTCTCTCTAGGCTTCCTAATATGGCGCCCCATACATGCAGCCCCCTTAGGGCTTCCTCAAACTTGGGTGGAAGATAAAGGGCCATGTTTCCTTCAGCGTGAAAGGATTGTCCAGGGATCTCGTGGGACGTTTATGAAACAAATGAATTGAATTGGGATCAAGATGTTGAAGCCAATACCTTCAGCGCGAACCCTAAACCCTACACTTCACCTATATCCAAACGCAAACACCTAACTTGACCCTACACCCACATGCAACAACGTAACCGATAAAACTAAAACCTATCGAAATTGACTTCGAGGTTCCAGGTCCGGCAGGGAGGTTGAGGAGCAGCTGCTGTCATCGGGCTCAGAGCATGGCATGGTAGCTGGAAACTTCTAAAGCTTGCTAGGAGGTGTTCTCAAATTTTGGGTCACCTATAGACCCTCAACAAAACTGGGAACACACCCATGCTGAAATCATTTCTGTGAGAAGAGACCATCTTAAGAAAGTAAAGGAGAAGATTGTTGGGTAGTTGATCGGGGAGAAGACTAGGGCGGCTACGTTTGCTAGGGTGGCTGGGGTTTAGGGTTTCGGGTTCTCTGTGCTGGCCTGGTATTGCTTGCGCATGCAGCATCGGGTGGCTAATTCGGACAACCTGCCAAGTGGCGTGAACCCGCCTGAGCGTCTTGCATTGGCGTTCCTGCCCTTGCGAACACGTATGCAGTTTGCATTCAAACTGCTGCGATAATCTAAAGCCCTCTTAGACTATCTATTTCGCTCTCCCACAGTTGGAACATGACTTTCGGCCGACCCTGCTTGTGACAACTACAGCCAAATTTGCTGCGCTGCTGCAAGCATGACGTGCTAGGCACATGTTCACTGGCTGCAAGGGCAGCTGTAAGAATGATGGGACTCTGGGGGAACCCAACACTGTTCCTCATACATGCCTGGAATATTCTGATTTCGAAAGCCTTGTCTTTCTCGTGGCCAGCTTCAGACAAGACAGACCAGACATGAACCCTTCTGACAGTCTCCAGGGGTATGTTGAAGATTCGGCCCTGGACCTGTAGCCTGAAACCCGTGATCCCCAGTAGCCTGAACCCTGTCAACCACCGTGTTCTATCTGTTGCTCCGGTTTTGCTTCCCTGGCGGCTCTCGTCGCTCTGCTGACCGTCAGCCGGTGACCGGGAAGCCTTAGGTCTTTCCATGCGAAATGCTTAATGTTCGATCCCGATTAGGGTGGGGGGCTTAATCGTGCTATTGCCAAAATTATTCAGCACCCCTGATTCGTTTGGGTGGCCTAAGTGGTGCGAAGTCGCGTGGCCAAGAAAATATTTATTGAGAGTAGTTAGGTAGAATGAAACGAATTTGCTTTCAAAACCTAGGGTACTAATTCGACTTTGCTAAGCTGTCAGCCTCATGCATGTGTTAGATTGAGACACTTGCATGAGAATGCCGGCCTTGCCCTGAGTCCAAAACCATCGATTTCTTACTGAACAGCTTATTAGAAGAGGCCAGGTCATCACATTTGCAGGGGGTAGTCCAGCAACTGCCCAGGGCCTCAATAACCTGAATGATCCTGAATGTTCTTTGGAACCTAGGAGAAAACAAAAGCCTGCCCGTTCAATTTTGAACAGCTACTGAGCGCACCGGCGCTCCTCCAATTGGCCTTGTAATTTTGAAGCAGTAGCTACTGAGCTCCGCAACAGTGCTCCATTTGAATTCAATTTAGAACGGCTGCAGGGCTCCGCAATTCCCCTCTTGTTGAATTTATGCTCCAATGATACTGGACTCCGGAAAGCCTGTTCCCATTAAACTTAGTTTTTACATTACGACCCAAATTTGTTTGGGGCGTTGCTCCCCCCCCCTTCCCACCCCGCCTCCACCAGATAGGTTTCAATTTTTGTTTGGAAGGTATAGTACACTAAGCACTAATCAAGCCCCAACATTACAAGCATCTGGGTTGTGTACAGGGGTTACAGCGTAATTGATGCTCGGGGTTTGAAGTTTACAGTGTGCATTTTAGGGTCTAGGTGTATGGGAGTTAGCCGAAACTTCTGCTTTCTAACTCACGTGTTCTAAGCAGGGGAAACTGTTGTAGAGATTGCATCAGACCGAGCATTCTATTCGAGTAGTAAACAATGACCAGGAGCAAGACACGAAGGACATCTTGATAGTAGTGCTGCTAGTTTCGTTCATTAGTACTACGGCACATCATAACGGTCATGCTCATGATGAGAGTCGCTTTGCGCATACAGAAAGTCTGCGTAAACATCAGACAGACAAGAAATGACTGTGATGGTAGCATGGGCAGGCGGACCGATCCCCCACCCAATGACAGCTATGGCGTGCATCAATATGGTCATGAAGGAGAGAGACGGTCTGAGAGCCCACTTCTCTGCCGAGCTTGCTTGGGCAATTGCCCAAGACTGCTGTAAACTTTCCATCTTCAGATGCATTACCTACGTAATGGGCTCATTCTGCAACGATCCCCATTGTTGGTACTGGAGCTCCTGCATGACCTTAGTACACTATACTACCAAAATTAACAAAGTGTAAGGTACTCACGGTCATGCAGGATCTTTACTATCCACCTAGAACAAGGATTCTGTTGATACAGGCATCTTCCCTGTACAAGCCAGAAGAAAGCCACACCTCCCGAAAACATACACACAAACAAACAAACAAACAAACAAACAAACAAACAAACAAACAAACAAACAAACAGCAGAACTTCAGGACGCATGATGTAGGCCCCTACCTATCCTATATTGTCCCCATAAGGTCCCTGAAACATAGTATCCCTGGCACATGCCTGTAATGTCCCGACAGCATCCCAATTAAACCCTATAACATCCCTTTAAAACCGCACCCTTAGCCCCATGAACATTAGATCATCCACACTGGCGGCCTCTGTTGCTGGGGAGGGCTCGGCGTGGACAGACCTGGGTTTTGCACCAGTGTGCTTTCCTTGCTTTTGGCATTCTCTCATCTACAGGATGAGTTCAGTGTTTAGGATTTAGTGCAGAGTAAGCAGTTTCTGTTTGTGACTCCTTGGTAATTATTTTGCATCAGAAAGAAGGTTAAGGGTGGCGGGATTATTCGTCGAATGTGCACCGAATCCCAGCAAGTAACGCCCAAGGCATCCCCTTGCAGAGCGTACATGTATGTACAGCATGTGTATGTAGGACGCCCTAAGGCTGAAACATCTACATACCGGAGATCGTGCATAGTAGCCTTAGGATGAGCCAAGGAATATTTTTGGACGTCTACTTCATACACGCTCAGCCTCCAGTTGGAAGCAGGATGAAGCTCAGCAAGCAAGGACACAAGGTAATACAGGGGGCTGACAGAAATATAGGACCCTAATGTTGGTAATTGTTGAGGCTTCTTCAATGGAAAGAAAGAAACAACAACACCTTAGAGAAACGTGCGCCTAACGCTGCCAGCTGGGCTGACATCCTACCCCTTTCGTTGAGGCAGCCTCCTCCTACCACTTCACTTGTAACACCCAAAGAGGGAAAGCCAGTTTAGGGTTTAGGGGTTCAGGGTTTAGCGTTCAGGTGCAAGGGATGGATCCCGATCCCGTTTGACGCCCTAAATCATGACCGTGAGGGTCCACAGACCTGGATAGTGGGGTGATAGGTCTCAAATACTATGTTATCTATGTTTCTTGTACTGCAAGCCCGGATGCTTGGCTCCTTGGACCCGGAGGGTGATACCCCAAACCCTAAAACCCAAACCCTAAACCCTAAAACAACAAAACCCTGAGAACATCCTTCAACAAGCCAAGGGCTCTGACCCTTGGGATTCCTCCCTGCTACACCCCAAATCGCAGGAGCAATGTGCCAGAGAGCCCAATATACCCCATACTTAAGGAATTTAGCCTAAATGGTACTAGGGTCCTAATATGATTTATGCTATGTTCCTTAAACTGAAAGGTACTGGGCTCCCCGGGGAGGCATGGAGTTGCCAGTGGGATAAGTCATGTGCGACCAGCAGGCTTCAAGAACACCTAGCCTATGTGAATTCCTACCTGAATCAGAAGCTCCACATCCCAAGCTTCAACCGCAACCCTGCACCCACACCTACCCCTAAAACCCGAAACCCTGATCCGTAAACCCTGTAAACCCCTAAACTCCGAACCCCAAACCTTCCAAACCCCTAAACCACAAAATCCAGAATGTTCTCCCTAAAACCGAATCCCTGAACACGTTTGCAAACTCGGAGTCCCTGCTCCTGCCGCGAGCCATGGCATACAGTCATGAGGAGCCCTTGGACTGCAGACAGGCCCTGGCAGGTGTAGGGTTTAGGGTTTAGGGTTAGCAGGCTTCTATTGGGGAGTTCGCCCATATAACCCTAAGGGTCGAGTACCCAATAATCATATACTTACCCAAAATCTCGACGATAATTACAATTACCCAAACCCAAGTACCTAATTATTGGTTATGTGGACCCTCTGGGTGATACGTGTATATATATATGAGCTATAGTCTAAACTCCTAGTATCCCCTTTAATAACCCCTATAGTAGTCCCTTATATGATCCCCTATATCCCCCCTTTAAGGAGTTTAGACTATAGCTCATATAATATACGGGTTCCCCAGAAGCCCCAGGCTTCGCCATCCTGAAATCTGCCCCCAAGACTACTTGTAATAAGGGCCAATACTAAAGATAATTGCGGGGTTTAGGGTTTAGGGTTTAGGGATCCTCAGAATTAAGGAGGGGTCCCTACGTAACTTCACTTGCTTTTAATCAGGTTCTCACTGGATTTCAAATAGGCTTCAATGGCTTTGAGTACGCGTT